CCATCTACCTATCTGTCTATCTACGGTATCTATGGTGGATAGATGGATGGATAGATAGATAGGTAGATAGATAGATAAGATACCATGTTTCCCCGAAAATAAGACCCTGTCTTATATTTTTTTGAACCCTAAAATAAGAGCTTGGCCTTATTGCCATGCGCTCAAAAGCCCGATTAGGCTTATTATCAGGGAATGTCTTATTTTAGGGGAAACATGGTTATCTATCTATCTATCTATCTATCTATCTATCTATCTATCTATCTATCTACAGTATCTACGGTGGATGGATGGAAGTATAGATGTATAGATGTATAGATGTATAGATGTATAAATAGATAGATAGATAGATAGATAGATAGATAGATAGATAGATAGATTGATAGATAACCATGTTTCCCTAAAAATAAGACCCTGTCTTATATTTTTTGAACCCTGAAATAAGCGCTTGACCGTATTGCCAGGCGCTCAAAAGCTCAATTGGGCTCATTATCAGGAGATGTCTTATCTGGGAGAAACAGGGTATCTATCTATCTACCTACCTACCTACCTACCTACCTACCTACCTACCTACCTACCTACCCACCCTTCCATATCTATCTATCTATCATCCATACCTATCTATTTATGTACCTATCATTCATCCATCCATCTATCTATCTATATCTATCAATCAATCTATTTAACCGTCCATCTACCTATCTGTCTATCTACGGTATCTATGGTGGATAGATGGATGGATAGATAGATAGGTAGATAGATAGATAAGATACCATGTTTCCCCGAAAATAAGACCCTGTCTTATATTTTTTTGAACCCTAAAATAAGAGCTTGGCCTTATTGCCATGCGCTCAAAAGCCCGATTAGGCTTATTATCAGGGAATGTCTTATTTTAGGGGAAACAGGGTATCTATCTATCATTTATCTATCTATCTATCATCTATCTATCTATCTATCTATCTATATCTACCATGTTTCCCCGAAAATAAGACCCTGTCTTATATTTTTTGAACCCTGAAATAAGCGCTTGGCCTTATTGCCAGGCGCTCAAAAGCCCAATTGGGCTTATTATCAGGGAATGTCTTATTTTAGGGGAAAACAGGGTATCTATCTATATCTATCTATCTATCTATCTATCTATCTATCTATCTATCTATCTATTTATCTATCAGTCCATCTACCTATCTATCTATCTACAGTATCTACGGTGGATGGATGGAAGTATAGATGTATAGATAGATAGATAGATAGATAGATAGATAGATAGATAGATTGATAGATAACCATGTTTCCCTAAAAATAAGACCCTGTCTTATATTTTTTGAACCCTGAAATAAGCGCTTGACCGTATTGCCAGGCGCTCAAAAGCTCAATTGGGCTCATTATCAGGAGATGTCTTATTCTGGGAGAAACAGGGTATCTATCTATCTATCTATCTATCTATCTATCTATCTATCTATCTATCTATCTATCTACCTACCTACCTACCTACCTACCTACCTACCTACCTACCTACCCACCCTTCCATATCTATCTATCTATCATCCATACCTATCTATTTATGTACCTATCATTCATCCATCCATCTATCTATCTATATCTATCAATCAATCTATTTAACCGTCCATCTACCTATCTGTCTATCTACGGTATCTATGGTGGATAGATGGATGGATAGATAGATAGGTAGATAGATAGATAAGATACCATGTTTCCCCGAAAATAAGACCCTGTCTTATATTTTTTTGAACCCTAAAATAAGAGCTTGGCCTTATTGCCATGCGCTCAAAAGCCCGATTAGGCTTATTATCAGGGAATGTCTTATTTTAGGGGAAACAGGGTATCTATCTATCATTTATCTATCTATCTATCATATATCTATCTATCTATCTATATCTACCATGTTTCCCCGAAAATAAGACCCTGTCTTATATTTTTTGAACCCTGAAATAAGCGCTTGGCCTTATTGCCAGGCGCTCAAAAGCCCAATTGGGCTTATTATCAGGGAATGTCTTATTTTAGGGGAAAACAGGGTATCTATCTATCTATCTATCTATCTATCTATCTATCTATCTATCTATCTATTTATCTATCAGTCCATCTACCTATCTATCTATCTACAGTATCTACGGTGGATGGATGGAAGTATAGATGTATAGATAGATAGATAGATAGATAGATTGATAGATAACCATGTTTCCGTAAAAATAAGACCTGTCTTATATTTTTTGAACCCTGAAATAAGCGCTTGACCGTATTGCCAGGCGCTCAAAAGCTCAATTGGGCACATTATCAGGAGATGTCTTATTCTGGGAGAAACAGGGTATCTATCTATCTATCTATCTATCTATCTATCTATCTATCTATCTATCTATCTATCTAACTACCTACCTACCTACCTACCTACCTATCTACCTACCTACCTACCTACCTACCTACCTACCTACCTACCTACCTACCTACCTACCTACCTACCTACCCTTCCATCTACCTATCTGTCTATCTACGGTATCTATGGTGGATGGATGGATGGATAGATAGATAGGTAGATAGATAGATAAGATACCATGTTTCCCCGAAAATAAGACCCTGTCTTATATTTTTTTGAACCCTAAAATAAGAGCTTGGCCTTATTGCCATGCGCTCAAAAGCCCGATTAGGCTTATTATCAGGGAATGTCTTATTTTAGGGGAAACAGGGTATCTATCTATCATTTATCTATCTATCTATCAATCTATCTATCTATCTATCTATCTATCTATCTATCTATCTATCTATCTACCTATCTTTTTTCTTTCTTTCTTTCTGTGTCTATCCATCTATTTCTGTCTGTCTATCTGTTCATCTGTATCTATTTTTTATTTAATATTTGTATCAATCATCTATCTATTCATTTATATTCTATTTAGTATGTGTTTGTATCAATCACCTATATGTATATTTATAGTATTTGTATCAATTGGATGATTTGTATCAATCGTCCGTCCATCCATCCAATCTTCTATTTAGTATCAATCATTTATTTATCCAATCATCCATTCATTATTCTATTCTATTCTATTCTATTCTATTCTATTCTATTCTATTCTATTCTATTCTATTCTATTCTATTCTATTCTATTCCATTCCATTCCATTCCATTCCATTCCATTCCATTCCATTCTGTATTTGTATCAGTCATTTATTTCTCTGCCTGTCTACCTTCATCCATCTCTCTCTCTATCTGTATAATCTGATTCTGTCTGTCTTATCTAACCTGTGAGGTCCTTGGTGCTCTACAATTTTGATTCTTTTTTGCAGACATTTCAGAGGTAACATTTTTGGGTCCTGAAACAGTGGAAGGAGGAGATGTTGGACGAGAAGGAGAAGGAGGGCTGTGAAGTCCTTGGTGCTCTCTGAGTTTCATGACTGAACTAGGCATCATCATCAGTGCTAGGAGGGAGGGAGGTTTGCTCTCAATTTACATTCATTAAATTGAGAGCATGCCATCTACCTGCCCTATAAGGTTGACTCCAAATGGGTTACAGGTTTACAAAACATATGGAAGAATGAATTAAAATAGATTAAAATGTATTTTACATTTTAAATTGGGTAAATTGAGGACCCAGTTTGTGGGGGCAATAAACTGACTTTGTATAAATATACAAAAGGATGAAGGCTATTGCTTAGCGCATTGTAAGCCGCCCTGAATCTCCGGAGAAGGGCGGCATATAAATCAAATTAAAAATAAATAAATGTAGATGTGTTTCAACTGTACCAAGATGTTAGAAGTATACAGAAGTTTTATAAGTACGCCAAAACTGTTTTCCAGTTCGAAGCCTCCTGCAACCGTGTGGATCTTTTGAGATGTGGCACAGACAGCCACACAATCAAAGTAGACACGAGTTTTGACATTCGGCCAACCACCTTTGATGCTCATACGAGGAGACTTTTGCTCTCTCTGCTGCGAGGATCTCTGGAGTAGGTGTTTCCGCTGCTTTTCCAAGCTGCATCAGCATTGGGACGTTATTTGCGTCTTCCTTCGGGAGTTCAGAAGACCTTTGGGGTTTCGTCTCCTTGGTTCTTCTCCTTTCGTGCCGGTTGTTTATGCCTGCTTCTTTCCTTCGGCGTCTCCTTCTGCGTGTTTCTCGAAGAACGTCCATCTCGAGGTCTTTCCTCTGGCAGAGAATTTGCGGCTCAGGGTTGAACTGTGGGGTCCTTGGTACTCTCGGAAATGGGTGTTTTTCTTGCGGAAGTTTCGTGACCGAACTAGGGAACGCCATCAGTCCTAGAAGGAGAGGAGGAGGACTAGGATTGTGGGGTCCTTGGGTGCTCTCTGAGCTTGGTGCTTTCTTGCAAACTTTTCATGACCTGTATTTATTAGGACAGGGTGTAAGTCACTTTTTTCAGTGCCTTTGTAACAACCATTCGCTAAACGAATGGTTGTAAGTCAAGGACAACTTTATTACTGTCTGAAACTAAATTTGTTTGTGGAAGGAATGACAGAGAACCCATGGTGAGAGTTAAAACAGGCATCAACCTAGAATCCTTACATAGTCACAAGCGAACTAAGTCTCCTTGTGTTCTGGGGAGCCTTATCTCACTCTAGTAGGTGCTCACCGTTAGTTGAAAGATTCCCATGCGGGAAGCTTTTAGCAATAAATCAATTTAGTTGAAAGATTCCTGCCTGTAGTCTTTCAGTAATAAATTGGTTTAGCTGAAAGATTCCTGTGCATAGAATTTTAGCAATGAATCAGCAATAAATTTTGCAATAAATTTTAGCAATAAGTTTAGTTGAAATATTCCTGTGCACAGACTTTCAGCAATAAATCAGTTTAATTGAAACTTCACGTGTGCATCTCGTATTTCGCGCCTGATTCCCTACTCTCTCTCTCTCTCTCTCTCTGCCTGGAGTTTGCATCTTTGATTCTTAATCGTCTGTAAATTTTAAACACTGATTTGAAATGTTGATTGGATTTTTGATCTTCTCCTTCTTTCCTCCTCTTCCTTTTTTTTTCCCCCAGAGTTTGATCAGAAAGGGCGTGGCGACATGGCGGACATGGAGCAAAACCTCAGCCTGGCCGATGCGTTGACCGAGCCCCCTCCCCAAATCGAAGAGGAAGTGAAGCGGGATTTCATGGCCACCTTGGAAGCCGAGAAGTTTGACGACGTGATCGGAGAAAAAGTGGGCAAGACAGATTATGTTCCTCTCCTCGACGATGACGACGACCCGAAGGCTGGGAACCAGGAGGCGAAAGCCAGACCGCGGGTTGAGAATGTTCCTCGGGAGCGTGAGTGTCCGGACGCGGGCAGGAGTATGGTCGGGCGTCGGGCGGGACGAGGGGGGGTCAGCGGAACAAGAAGTTGGATTACGTCATACGATCACAAATTTGAGTGCCAACTTTTCCGTGATTAAGCAAGGCAGTCGTTCCAAGAGCTTTGCCCCGTTTTATGTTAGCATTGTTAAGGGAACTAGGTGGTCGTTAAGCGAATCTAATTTGCGCCCCGTTGACGTTGCTTGTTGGAAGGTTGAGAAAGGGGATCGCGTAAGCCACCGTCATAAATCCATGTCAACTGCTTCAGAGTTCGATCATGTGACCACAGAGATACGGCAACGGTTGTAAGTCTGAGAACTGGCCACGAGTCACTTTTTTTTCCAGTGGTGGTGTAAGTTCGAACACTCGGTAAACAAATGGTTGTAAGTGGAAATGATTCTAGAAGAAGTGACTGGGAGCTCAGGAAGATCCTTTCTTGTTTTCTTGCGTGAATATTTCACGACCCAAGTAGGGAACATCATCATTGCTAGAAGGGAGGAGGAGGAAGAGGAAGAGGAGGAGGAGGAGGAGGCTGTAGGGTCCTTGGCGCTCTCAGAGTTCCCTTGTAGACGTTTCATGACCCAGCTAGGGAACAGCATCAGTGCTAGAAGGGAAAAGAGTTTGGAAGGAGGAGGAGGAAGAGGAGGTCTGAGCTTGGGGGTTTTCTTGGAGATATTTCATGACCCAACTCGGTAATGTCATCAGCATCAGAAGAAAGGTGGGTTTGTTCTGTCTTTTATATACAGTCCTATCTAGCACTGATGTTATTACTTAGTTGGGTCATGAAATGTCTGCAAGAAACACCCCCAAGCTCAGAGAGCATCACGAACCTTGCAGTCTTCCTCCACTTCCTCCTCCTCCTCCTCCTCCTCCCCCTGTCAAATCCCTCCTCTCTGCCATCCCTGATGATGTTCCCTATTTGGGTCCTGAGATGTCTGCAAGAAAGCCACAGGCCCCACAGAAATAATCTTTTTGGCCCTAATAATCTGTTTTATCCCCAGCAGCTCCTGCCCTGACCAGGGGTTTCGCTTTGAATTTTTGAACAAGAGGAACCTTAACTCTGGCCTTGTAGTATCAGTTGATTGGTTTAAAAAAAATCTTTTTTCCCCCCTTGTTTTTTATTTCTGGCTTCCTCTGAATCTTCTCCAGACCATGGCAGTCTATCTGATTTGCTCATTGCTTTGCACGGAGACATCCTGCCATTGGCAAATTGCCGGCTTCGGTGATCTCATTGCTTTGAAATCCTTTCTAAATCCTAGATTTTTTTCCTGTTCATTTTTATGCATCCTTTCCTTCTCCTCCTCCAGGCTTTCTCCAATCAAGAGAAGAAAAATAAATTAAATTCATTTCCACGGGTGCCATTATCCGGCTGGCTCCCATTTCCTCCGGGTTTTCCTTTTTAATAAGCTCTAATCGCACCATAATTTAGCCAAGAAACGGTTGAACGGATATATTTAGTGCTGCTCGGTGAACTGCGACGCTTATAGGAATATTAGAGAGGATAATTTTTTGGGCCATTTTCTGGCAAGCTTTTTCCCAGGGAATGTGGCTTTTTATTTGATATTTTTTATTTTTATAATATCTCGACATCAAACGTGAAGGATAACACGGTTTAAAAAATAGGCCTCAAACCAATTTATCACCTTTCGCTTTTATTGACGTAACTGCGATATAGATCGTCCTCCAATTACAAACACAATGGAACCTAAAATTTCCTTGGCTAAGCGAGACGGTTGTTAAGTGAGTTGGGAGCCATTGCACGATTTTTTTTTTCACCTGCCGTTGTTAAGTGAATTGCTGCAATGGCTCAGTTAGGAGCAGGGTTGTTAAGTAAATCTGGCTTCCTGCTTGATGCATGACCCCGTGCCACTGTGACTGTCATCCCAAGGAACACCAAGGACCCCGCTATCCTCCTCCTTCTCTACTCCACAAACCCCCTCCTAGCACTGATGACATTGCCTAGTTGGGTCTCGAAACGTCTGCAAGAAAACCACCAAGATCAGAGAGCATCAAGGACTCTACAATCCTCCTCCTCCTCCTCCCTCTCCTCCTCCCCCTCTTCATCCTCCTCCTCCTCTTCTTCTCCGCAATGCTCACTCCCTTCTGACACTGATGATGTTACCTAGTAGGGTCATGAAATGTCTGTGAGAAAGCCACCAAGCACAGAGAGCAAAAAGGACCCTACAGTTCTCCTCCTCCTCCTCCTCCTCCTCCTCCTCCTCCTCCCCTCCTCCTCTTCCTCCTCCTCCTCTTCCTCCTCCTCCTCGTTCCCTCCTCCTCTTCCTCTTCCTCCTCCTCCCTTCCTCCTTCTCCTCCTCTTCCTCCTTCTTCTCTTCCTCCTTCTCCTCCTTCTCTTCCTCCTCCTTCTCTTCCTCCTCCTCCTCTTCCTCCTCCTTCTCCTTCTCTTCCTCCTCCTCCTCTTCCTGCTTCTCCTCCTCCTCCCCTCCTCCTCCTCTTCCTCCTGCTCCTCTTCCTCCTCCTCCTCCTGCTCTCCTCCTCCTCTTCCTCCTCTTCCTCTTTCTCTTCCTTCTCTTCCTCCTCCCCTCCTCCTCCTTCTCGTCCCCTCCTCTTCCTCTTCCTCCTCCTCCCCTCCTCTCCTCCTCCTCTTCCTCCTTCTCCTCCTCCTCTTCGTCCTCCTCCTCTTCTTCCTTCTCCTCTTCCTCCTCCTCCTCTTCCTCTTCCTCCTCCTCTTTTTCTTCCTCCTCCTCCCCTCCTCCTTCTCGTCCCCTCCTCCTCTTCCTCCTTCTCTTCCTCCTTCTCCTCCTCTTCCTCCTCCTTCTCTTCCTTCTTCTCCTCCTTCTCTTCTTCCTCCTTCTCCTCCTTCTCTTCTTCCTCCTCCTTGTCTTCGTCCTCTTCCTCCTCCTTCTCCTCTTCCTCCTCCTTCTCTTCCTCCTTCTCCTCCTCCTCCCCCTCCTCCCTCCTCTCTCCACTCCCTCCCCACTCCCTCGTAGCACTGATGATGTTACCTAGTTGGGTCCCGAAATGTCTGCAAGAACACCACCAAGCTCAGAATCCACCAACCACCCTACAGTTCGTTTTTATCGTTTTGTTGGTATTTGGGCTTTGTCCCACCTTCTAGAAGCTACCCAAAAAGCGCATCTCTTAACACACGTGCCGTTGTGTAACCTTTTCCAACAAAACACATCGCCTGAGGTCGTGCGGATCCAGCATGCGCCCAATCTCTTTTGCAAAAATCTGGCGGTGTTCGAGAGCCTCGGACGGGATTGACTGATATTTCCCGCGTGCCCCTCAAATGTTGGATTTTTATTCTCTCTCTCTCTCTCTCTCTCTCTCACACACACACACACACACACACACACCCTGACACGGCAAAAAGGATTGAACCGAGTTCGGCCACCTGCCTTCGCGACGCGACTCGCGGCATCTCGGTTTGATAGGTTTGTCCTAATCCTCTTAGTTTCTCCGTTACATAATCCGGAGGGATTTTTTTGAGGGGGGGGGGAGGCGGTAATTTGTGTCGGATGAACGTTGCATGGCCTCCTTCTCGCCACCCGGGGAGCATCGGAGATTAGAAACCCGGCATCTGGCAGGAGACGCAATGACTTAAATCCTGGTGTTGGAACAGTGACGTGGTGGTGGTTTGCTTGTGGCGGGAGAGGAATGAATACAATTGGAAGCGTAGTTACGGGTGTCTGGCAAATTGGTTTCAACGGAGAAGCACTGATGCTGTTCCCTATTTGGGTCATGAAACGTCTGTAGGAAAAGCATCCAGATCAGAGAGCACCTTCATCTTCCTCCCTCCTCCTCCTCCTTTTCTTTTTCCTCCCTCCTTCCCTTTCCTCTCTTTCCTCCCCCTTCTCTTCTTCTCTTTCTCCCTTCCACTGTGCTCCCTTCCTCTCCTCTCTCCCTCTCCTCTTCTTCCCTCTCCCTCTCCCCCTCCCCCTCCCTCCTGGCACTGATGATGTTCGCTAGTTGGGTCATGAAACGTCTGTAAGAAAAGCACCCAGACCAGAGAGCAACAAGGACCCCACAGTCTTCCTCATTGTCCTCCCCCTCTTCTTCCCTCTCTCCCTCTCCTCCTCTCTTCCTCCTCCCTCTCCTCCTCCTCTTCCTCCTCCTCTTCCTCCCCCTCCCTCCCTCTCCTCCTCATCCTCTTCCTCCTCTTCTTCCTCCTCCTTTCTCCTCCTCTTCCTCCCTCTCCCTCCCTCTCCTCCTCTTCCTCTTCCTCCTCTTCCTCCTCCTCTTCCTCCTCCTTCTATTCTTCCTCCCCCTCCCTCCCTCTCCTCCTCCTCCTCTTCCTCCTCTTCTTCCCCCTCCCTCTCCTCCTCTTCCCCTCCTCCTTTCTCCTCCTCTTCTTTCTCCCCCTCCCTCCCTCTCCTCTTCCTCCTCCTCCTTTCTCTTCCTCCTCTTCCCTCCCTCTCCTCCTCTTCCTCCTCTTCTTCCTCCTCCTTTCTCTTCCTCTTCTTCCTCCCCCTCCCTCTCCTCCTCTTCCTCTTCCTCCTCCTTTCTCCTCCTCCTCTTCCTCCCCCTCCCTCCCTCTCCTTCTCTTCCTCTTCCCCCTCTTCCTCCTCCTTCTCCTATTCCTCCCTCCCTCTCCCTCCCTCTTCTCCTCTTCCTCCTCCTCCTCCTCCTCCTCCCTTTCACTGTGCTTCCTTCCTCTCTCCCTCTCCTCCTCCTCTCTCTTCTCCTCCTCCTCCCTTCTGGCACTGATGATGTTTGCTAGTTGGGTCATGAAACGTCTGCAAGAAAACCATCTAGCTCAGAGAGCCCCGAGGACCCTACAATCATGATTATTTGAACATATAGACATAGACATATTGATATACATTCCCCTGCCAACTCCCAGCAGCTCTAGGCAATGCACAAAATGTAAAAAAAAAAAAAAAAACTTTAAACGAAACCCAACATTAAACCAAGATGGCAAAGAGAACTAACCCAGAAGGCAGCAAAGAAGAGAAATCAGATGCTTCAAGTACTTTAAATCCTGAGGGGGCATCGTAAAAGCTCTTGAATTTGTGGTCTCCTCCTCCTGCAGATCTTCCTCTGGGGTTGACTTATGGGAATTATTACCATCATCGTATCCTTTAACAGCTATTCGTTTAGCGACCGTTTGCATTTTGCAACCCCACTGCAAAAAGCGACCGATGACCCTTTTATTACACGACCGTGGCAGCGCCCCTGTGGTCAAAATTCGGTTGCTCGGCAACGGACTCTTATTTATGACGGTGGCAGCGTCTCGTGATCCTTTTTTGTGACCTCCCGACGAGCCAGCTCAGCGGGGAAGTCAGGTTCACTTAACAACCGTGTCATCAACTTAACCATTGCCCTGATTCGTTTAACCATGTAGAGCTCACTTAACAACTGTCTCGCTTAGCAACGGCAAGTTGGGGTCGTAAATCGAAGACTAAGTGTAAAGATGGATCCTAAATCTCCTTCAGAAGGAGATTCAGAAAGATTTGGAAATGTAGATTTAGACAGATGATTGATGGCAACATCTGGAGGAGAAACTTGGCTGTTGGGCCATCTGAGCAGAAGCTCCAACCTTGAGCTGGTCAAGGTCTTTGGGGCAGAAAATTGGGGTCCCCCAGGTCCTAAGTGCCCCCCAACTGATGTAGACATCTCTCTTCTAGGTCCCACTGCAACTGGACCAGCTGCCGTGGTTGAGAACGGGGATCATGGCCTGGAGGCGAGCCGACAAGGTAAGACGTTGGGTTGACGTTCTCCATACGCTCCAGAGCTGCTTCCTCATTTGCATGTCGCTGCTGACACATCTGTGACGTGTTGTATGTGTGAAGGTAGACTACCTGGGAAGCACGAAGTCTTTCCTCCGGTCCCTTGTCTGCCGGCCTCAATAATTTAGATTTTTTGATGGATCGGGCTTTGGTGGGAACTCATGTTTGATGTCCTTCAAGGTTGGTGGCTCTTTGGGGGAGGGGGGTCAACGTTGTCAATTTTGGACGTTGTGTGACAATGTTGTGAGGTTTAGTCCAGCAGAGCGTTTCTCAAACAGTGACAAGGTGTGTGGACTTCAATTCCCAGAATTCTCTTAACAATTGTAGACTTCAAGGCTGAGAATCCCTCAGGATCGCCTGCTTGGAGGAAGAAGTCAGGAAGGCAAGGATTCTGGAATGGAGTTTCTCAACCGTGGTCACTTTAAGAGGTGTGGACTTCAACTCCCAGCATACAGGGTGGTGCATTCTGGGAATTGAAGTCCACTCAATGACAGCTAGGAAATTCTGGGAGTTGAAGTCCACATCAGTTAAAATGGCCGCCTTGAGAAGATGCTTGACTTCCTCACATTCCCTTCACCCCACAAAACTCTTCTCCGCTCAAATGTTTTATTATATTTATTATATTAAGCATTTTATTATGCTTTCTCAAATAATTTTATGACGTTTTACTGATAAAAACAACAATATTAAGTTACAAGCAGTAGAAAGGTTAGAGAGTGTAAGGATAAAACTCTGAAAAATACAAATATAGATATAGTCCTCAACTTACAATCGCAGTCGAGCCCAAAATCTCCGTTGTTAAATGAATGAGTTCTTCAGTGAGCTTTGCCCCATTTTACGACTTTTCTTGCCACAGTTGTTAAGCAGAACACTGTTGTTAAGTGAGTCACACAGTTATAAAATGGATCTGGCTTTGACTTTGCTTGTTTGAAGGTCGCAAAACGGGATCACATAACGCTCCGGCCGTCATAAATAGGAGTCAGTTGCCAAATGTCTGAATTTTGATCACGTGACCATGGGGAGGCTTCAGCGGTCGTTAAATGTGAAAAATGGTCATGAGTCCCTTTTTTCAGTTCTGCTATAACTTCGGTCACTAAACGAACTTGTAAGTCGAGGACTACGTGTACAAGCAAAGAGTAATTTCTAAGGATGGAAACCAATGCTGATTTTCGACCCCGAGTTTAAAACCAGAATAGAACCTCAATTTCCACCCTCCAAAAATGCAAAGAGGAAAATAAATGGGAAAAAAAAATCTATTCCCTCCCCTCTTTTTTAAAATTGTCCCCATTCTCAAATCCCAAATTTGAGTCCAAACCCCAAACCAAAGCAGACACTGCTCAATTTACGACGGTCCCTTTACTGGCTGTTCAAAGTCTAAACAACGGCACTGGAAAAAGGGACATGCGACCGTTTTTCACACTTAACGACCGTTGCAGCATTGATCGCTTGGTCACGTTTGGCAACTGAGTCGCATTTATGATGGTTGCAGCGTCCCAGGAATCACGTGATTCCCCCTTTTGCGACATTCCCGACAAGCAGAAAGCCAGATCCGCTTAACAACCATGTTACTAACATCACCGCCGCAGCGATTCACTTAACGACGGTGGCCAGAAAGGTTATACAATTTGGCAAAGCTCCCTGAACAAATGTCTCCCTTAGCGACATAAATGTGAGGCTCTGTTGTGGTCGTAAGTCCGAGGACCACCTGCATACACAACTTCCAACTTCTTCCAAAGATAGAACGAATGCTTCCTTTCGACGCCGAGTTGAAAATCGGGATAAAATGTCCAATTTTCCCTCTGGAAAATCAACGAAAAAAAAAAATTCTCGAATTTTTCCTCAATTCTGTTGAACTTTTATTTTGATTTATTTTTCATTGGATTTTATCCTGTTGAGTTTTTATTTTTTTTTCTCCGTCTCCAGTCAAAGTCAACATTTTGACTGACGGAGTTGAGGATGGGGATGATTTCAAAAGGAGGAAAAGAAATAATTCTTTTTTCCCCCCCTTCCGTTCTGAAATCGTCCCCATCCTCAACTTCGTGAATCTAAATGTTCACTTGGCAAGAGCCGGATAAAAATAAAAATAAAAATAAAAATTCAATGTCTTTGGAGATTCTCTAGTCTATCCAGGTTGTTCGAAAAGTACTTTTTTTCAAGAGGCAACTGGACTTTCTGTTTTTTTTCTTTGAAGGCATTTCGCTTCTCATCCCAGAAGCTTCTTCAGTTCTGACTGAATGGTGGGAAATGGATCAGTCAGAGCTGAAGAAGCTTCTTGGATGAGAAGCGAAATGTCTTCAAAGAAAAACCAGAAAGTCCAGTTGCCTCTTGGAAAAAGGCACCTTTGGGATAAAAATCCAGTATTTTTCGGAGGCTTTCTGTGATCTCCTGCGATGCCGCGTTTTTTTTCCCCCCTTCAATCTTCCGGAGTGAAAGCTGGTTTCTAGCTGACCCATTTATGGACAGCTTATTTAAAAATAGCGACGGCTTATGTTCTTCCTTCCGTTTTGGGAAGGATTTTCTTCTTAAGGACCGATTTTCTGCCGAGAATTAGCGAATGCTGCTCTCTCTTGTAAGGCGACGAGAGATTTTTACCTCATGGACCATAAACCGGCTTTCAGAGAAAGCTGCTCCTGGCCGGATCGCCAACCCCCCCCACTGTTTTTTCGATGCTTACAGCAAGTCCTCAACTTACGACGGTGGTTGAGCCCACAATTTGTGTTGTTCAGCGAGACGGTGGTTAAGTGAGAAGGAAGATACACCTCAGTACAGACAGCCCTCAAGTTATGACAACAATGGAGCCCCAAATTTATGTCACTAAGAAAAACGTTCCTTAACCCATTTTACGGATTTTCTCGCTGCGGTTCTTAAATGAATTGCTACGTTTTTGAAGTCAGTCAAACGGTCGTTAAGTGAATCCGGCTTCCCTGTGGACTTGACAGAAGGTTGCAAAAAGGGATCACGTTTCCACGGGTCACTGCGACCGTCTTAAATATGAGCTGATGGCCAAACATTTTGAGGACATGACCATGGGGATGCTGCAACGGTCGTTAAGTGTGAAAAAGGGTCATAGGTCGCTTTTTCCAGTGCCGTTGTAACTTAAAACGGTCACTAAATGAAATGTCGTAAGTCAAGGACTTTCTGTATTTCGGGTACAGAGAGTTTGAGGTGTTAGGTTTGTTAGGTGTTATGGGGCGTGTGTTGGACTGCAACTGGTGTGCGTTCATGGGTACTCACAATTCGTAATTAGAGAAATACAGGTTTGGAAGGGACCATCCCGTTGCTCAAGCAGGAGACCCTCAAAGCATCATAGAAATGCAGAGTTGGAAGGGACCTTGGAGGTCTTCTAGTCCAGCCCCCAGCTTGATCATAAACCCTTAACAGAACCATGGAGTAATGGAAAGGACCTTGGAAGTCTTCTAGTCCAACCTCCTTCTTAAGCAGGTGACCCTTAAAAGAAATACATACTTGGAAGGGACCTTGGAGGTCTTCTAATCCAATCCTCTGCTGTATCAACGTAGATGATTTCTCCTTGAAGGAGATAGTTTTGAGATGGGGATTTTTAGCAAGTCATCTTCCTGAAGAAAATTAAGGTTTTATGGAGTCTTCTGCCACCTAAGGATGTGTTTGTAGATGTATTTTTCTGTGCCAACCTTCTTCCAGATGGTGGTCACAGCTGGTGGCTGTGGACTTCAAGCCTTACCAACTGGGCAAAGAAGCAGATTGTGGTTCTTCTTACCAGCATTGTGAGATGTGGCCTGTACTGTTTAGAATTTGGGCTTCATAGCCCCCCCCCCACCCTGTTCTTGGATCTACTGGTCTGAAGAGGTTGAGACAACAAGATCCTGTTTTAAGTAGGAATCATTCTTGGTTCCTCAAAAACCTTATTGTTGTCTCCTCCAACGTTTTGAGGACTTTATCCTGGTCTTGAGCTTACATTTTTCCGCGAATGATTTCTGACCAGGCACCATTTTGTGAGTTGAAGTAAGAAAATGGAGGCCCTGCTAAGCCTGGGAGGTTTTTGTGTGTGTTGGCCATGGGCATCAAGAGAGGAGAAATAAGATTGGTGGACATGGGGTATGTTGGGGCAGATGATTGCCAAGGTCCCAAGTATGGTAGAGAGATAAAAGATGAGACTCAAAGAGGAGGTGTTTCTGAGAAGCAGAAGTGGTCCAGTTGCAGAAGAACATCTGGAGAATCTGGTTTAGTTGAGAATTAGGTTGTCCCAACGTACTTCAACTGACTGAAGAAAGATGGGATGGGCTTCCTTGTATCATTCAAGTGGTCCCAGGTTCCTTATTCCAAGACCAGCAAAATAGGGACATCCGATTCTACTGAAGTCATCACCCAAGTCACCATCATCATCTTCTTTTAACAACCCCATAATCCCTTGTGGGGTGGAGTCTGGGTAACTGAATGGAGCTAGCAGAGTGTTTTAATGGCCGGATGCCCTTCCCTGTCGCCAATGAGGAGTTTTGTTCAACCGATATATTCTCAGTGTGTCCAGAGAGAGAAATACCTGCCTCTATCTAGGATCGAACTCACAGCCTCCTGATTGTGAGGCGAGAGCTCCACCTCTGGGCCACCGCACCACTCCGAGGTCATCCCCCAAGTGATGAAGAAAAAGGGACACCTGACCCAACTTGGGTCATTCCTTAGTTTATTGATCTCCCCAAATTCAAGTCAACTGGTTCAAAGCAGAGCGACAACTTTGTGATTGAGGTTTTTTTTTCTTTGTGTGTTAGAAAAATACAGACTGAGAGTTGCAACTAAGCTTAGAGAGATATGGAAGGGAGGGAAGGGGTTCCTCAAAGTCCAGCTCACTTCTTGGGAAGAAGAAGCACGTCGGCTCAAGTGGTTGGAACACCAGACACGAGATTTGGAAGTCCACGTTCGAGACCTGAGATCTGCCATTCGGGAGAGTTGAGTTCCCATCCTTAGCTTGAGCTCACCCTTTCAACCCTGAAACG